CCCCCCCCCCCCTCCGAGCGCGTGCTAAGGTACCACATTGTAAGAGATGAATAAAAATGTTTGCTTTTTTAGGCAATACGTTTCAAGAAGAGGTGCTTAACATGAAAATAGTCCAGGGTACATTTGGTGCCAATTTTCAGGTCATCACACCTACTGGCTCACTGGGCAGCTGACTAACTTGGCCACCACTGAACCACTTCGGGTGACATTTGTGTCCAGGCATGATCGGCCCACTGACTGGCATCATGCTCGGCCTGGCAGGTACTGCTTCGTGGAGAACCTGTACCAGAATGGCCTGATGTCTGCTCCTGAGTATGCTGTGCTTGACCAGTGGTTCCAGTGGATCACTACTAACGTGGATGTCAAACCGGACCTCATTGGTGAGTAACGCTACCAACTTATGGACGAACGCGTGCATCGGCCAGCTGTGGGGTCCTCAGGATATCAGGACATCAGGCGATCCTCAGCACCAAGCCCGTTATCTGGCTCTGAGTGCTGCGCGGTGTCAGGAACTTCGTGCTTCATTGTTTGGATTCGTGGTGTGGAAATAAGTGAACCTTCCTATGTGGAGTGATACAACATTTTGAGTGGCTTATTCAAAGGGGCTGCCATTTAAGCAGTAAGTACACAAATTTTGTACAAAGCTGGTAGAGTTGAATTTGTTTAACAATAGTATGTATGCAAAACTTCATATGCAGATATGTACTGAACATTGGAATGCAGATATTCATTCTTGGTGTCGGGTATCAGGTGAGTGGCCACTGCAAGGGCCACCTCATTCCTTTCGACTGAGGAGCAAACGTGGTCAAAGAGGATGGTGACGGTTGCATTTGTAATTGCATTGGTTTGGTCAGGTAGTATGATTAACTTAACTCTTCAAGGCATGAACTTTACGCTCTGAGACGATCACCAATTGAACTCAAATCAGTTTGTGTTGTGCAAGATGATCCTGGAATGGAAAGAACTGAAGGTTAAAAAGATGTCCTCCCCGACCACCTGCCGAGTTTGTCGTGCTACCAGTTATCCCTCGCTCTGACGTCTCCCACGACAACGTCGCCTGACGCCCCCTGAACGCGCCAACTGATGGACGCGGCGGGTCAACTCGCTTGCGGCATAGGACGGGCAGACGCGCCAGCGATGCCCGTGACACCCGGTTGCTTATATTAAGTAAATCGGTCCTGGTACAGTGGAGTATTCGGCATCGTGCACGAATCGCACATAAGGATGACTCAGTATGAAAATAATAAGAAGCCACTGGCACCACTTCACGCAGGCCACTTACCCCATGTCAGCGAGTTCATATATGTTCCCATGGCAGCCTTCACGGGGAGTATTTGTGCTAAACACCCACAAGAGGTGACTTGATGACATGCAGAGCACTCATGTACCAATGTCTTATATTTTGTGCCATTGGTTGTTTGTGCTTGAGGTGACGTAAGATGACAATGGTGCCGGTGGGCCGGCGGCAGTGTACCTGCGCAGCTCGCCGGAGGTGGTGGCTGAGAGGATCCGGCGGCGAGCTCGCGACGAGGAACGCGCCATCCCTGACTCGTACCTGCGCGCGCTGCATGAGCTGCACGAGGACTGGCTGGTGCGGCGCTGCCGGTTCTCGCTGCCCTGCTCTGTCCTGGTGCTGGACGCCGACAAGGACCTGCAGATGCTGTGAGTGGACAGTAGGATGCTGTGCTTCGGCAGGGTTTGGTGTAGGCAGTGGGTTTCTATGGGTTTCTATTCAGTCATGGAGCTGACTGGTGGTGCAGGTTGATATTTCAGTGCTGCTTGTGGTCTTGAACTGCTTCAGTCACGCTTGTTTTAGTCCCCTATAATTTCAGTTATATGCTTGACAACATCATGTTAAGTAAATCCAAACACCGCTGGTACCTCTTGGTCTTCCGAATGGGTGGCAATACAGTTTTTGTGGCTGTAGTCAGCTGGCATGGGAGGCCATGTTACAAATCCTGAGTGATTCGAGCCCGGGATTTGACTTGTTTCAGGAAGGAGGAGTTCAACAGCCGAAAGCACGAGATCCTATGCTGCAGCGCAGTGAAGAGTCCGGTCAAGGGCCCGAGGTCGCCAACACCTGCTGCTGCCATCTGATGGCTGACCTGAGGAGCACTGTCTGACACCTGATGTGTAGTGGAACTGCGTTGTGCTATCTATACATGTTGTTCTGGCGACTTTTAGTTTGTCTTGTTCCTGCTGACTAGCTGATCTGTGCACTTTTACATTGTCTGTTTTAGATGCCCAAGGCCATTGTAATCTCATGAGGGGTTGTGATATAATTTCTGTGTATATCTATGCTTCCGCATATGTGCATGTGTGCGTGCTCCAACTAGTGATCCTCATGTTTATGTCGTTGAACATTAGAAACTCACTGTGAAGCATGTCTTCTAGATAGGGTTGGCCTCTGTTGACAGAGTTGCACTGGCACCAACAAGTGTTCTTGAAAGTCATGTCAGCACTGACCAAAGAGCATTTGCGTGCAAGTGACCACAGCATTCACATTCTGTAAATATATTTTATATCACATTGCCATTTTGATCAGCTGGACAAGCCAAGTAGTTATAACATTGGGATTGTAGGCATTCTACCCACATCCTAAGGTATGACAAAGATTGAGCAGTGGTTTAGACTTCGATAGACCCAGGATGTCTGTTGAACCATTTATTTTACGGCGTGCATCGCGAACAAGGGGGGGGGGATAGCTGCCGCTGCCGTAAAGTTGATAAGTGCGCAAAATGATGCTTGAAACAGAGTTGCCCCCATCCGGAGGTGTCGGCGTGCACGTTGGTTGACTGCCGCGGCAGTGCATTCCAGGTGAAGCATATTCAACTCAGCGAATCTCGATGCGACGTGGTAGGGACGCCTGGCCCAAAATCGGGTGGAGAGACAACTGCAGTGCAATTGCAGATGGTATAGGTGGTTTGTGGCTTGGTTAAAAAGGTTTGCGCGGTTTCCGTTACTGGTTGTCGGGACCAGGTATGTGCCCTGAGCGCAAGCGCGCTGCAATTGGGATAAATGGGGGGGGGGCAGCAAATCACAGAATCTTCTCACCACAGAACTCTAGCGCACGGGATTAACTCTTGGGATTCAGCAACGTGTGTACGGTATACAATTTGGGTGGAACAGGCCATTATACGCTGGCACATCCAATATCCTCCTCCGAGGGACGCATGTCAGGAGTGAGCTTATCACGGTTACCTGTACTGCCTTTCAGAATCCACCTACAGGGAAAAATGGAAATATGCCGGTCTGGGGGGAGGCGTTTGGGGTTCCACCGGATTATTTGGCAGTTGGAAGCACTGACATGCACCGCTCAGTTGATGTGCCCACTGCCCAGCAGCCCAGGTCAATTAACGTATATCCACCGTTTTGTCATTGTTCTGCTAATGCGCTGGTATCGCTGCTGTAATTCCAATTAGTTTTGCATCAATCACCTTTGATTCGTTGGGAGTGGGACAACCGTCCCTGACCGGCGAAAGCGCCGATGCCGCCCCCGCCCATCGTCCCCGTGCACGCACTAGGTATATCAGGCACCTATAATCGGCTTTGGAACCGCTAGTTTGTTTTACTTTTTCGAGATGTCTCTAGTGACTGGGGTTTACGGAGTTATAATGCCATCAACCCGCTCTTTTATTCAATGAAAAACAAATTATTCTATCAAAGAATTCGATTTCATGAAGGAACTGAACGAAAGTTTGCTTTTTTTTAATTTAACTTAGTTTTAACAGCACGTAAAATTCCACGTTTTCTGGACTGTTGGCCGCGGCCTCCGAATGAACGCCACGCTGTCCAACATTCCCATCAGCTGACTGCGTTTTGGGTGACGTCGACAGGCGACCCGACGAAACCGTCGTGTTGTTTCTCCATGCAGTGCTTAATGCGGCGTTGCGGCGTGGTGCCCAGGTGCTGCTAGTCGTATTGCATCCGTTTGTAACGGTAAAGGGCGTCCTTTGGGAGCGGATCGACGTTTTCTTCATAAATCTTCAAACTTCAGACAGATGGTGAGTGTTGCGCAGTTCAAGTTTGTACTGCCCGAGTCAATGAAACTGAGTCCCGAGGTTCTGCAATAAGCATGCATTTTAGGAAGCCATTATGCACATTCTGAATGTCTAGAATACACTTCTTAGCATTGTGCTGTGATATTGTGTCCAACTTTATGTGTCTGTTTTGTTAATGCATTAATGTGTGGTGGTAAGTGGGTGTTTTGGTTCCACTTCATCTTTTCCAACACCCTTACCATTTTAACACCTTTCACCTTTGCTTCCATGAGAACTTGCTGATGACCCTCTCGTGTAGATCTTGTGTGTACACAGGTCATGTGAGTCTGTATGGTATGTTAAAAATTTAATGCTGGGAAAAGGTATACACGTACTTGCCCACGTATTCAGCATTTGTGTCCCAGTCTGCTCTAAATGACCCAAAGTCTCACTGACTGTTCTTTGTCAACTGTTTGTCCCTGCCCCCCCCCCCCCCCTCTTAACCTTTGGTCTCCACTCATTCAGTAACCTGTACCCTTCCCGAACTTTTCCAAAGTCTGGGAAAACATTTTGGGGCATATTTTCTGATAGTTTCCATAATCTGCACTGCTCTCCCCCTGAACTCATCCAGTGAATCTATGCCCCTGCTTTTTGCATTACTTCAAGCCACTGTGCTGGTTCTGAGCCACAATGTCATGTGGCCTGCTCAAGCATTGGAAGGGTTCTGTGCTTGCACAACATTTTTGGTCTCACTACTTGGATTTCATTAGTGGATCTCGGGCTCAGGGTGCGAGGTGAGAGACAAGGTCAGGGGTTATACAACTCCACACAAGGTCAGGAGGGTAGCATTTCAGCTCGGCAGGACATAAGACAATGAACACACAGTTGACACCAATTTAAAGCATTTGTTGACTGGCCCTGGCTTGTCTCTGTTGTCATTTTTGTCTGTTCTGCATTGCACATTGTGGTTGTGCTCAATCCGTGCCCCGGTTTGGTGTATTCCCAAGGAACTGTGAGCTGCTGACAGTAAATTAAGTTGTTCCAACTGTGGAATTCTTGTCTAAAAATTCCAAAGCTGTCCTAAATATCCTCCCTTGTCCTAGCCCTGGTGCAACGAGTTGTCAACACAGTCCGCCATGTTTCACAGACTTGAGTTGGCTTCATGACCACATAGTTAAAGGTCCCTGAAGCTGCCCCCCCCCCCCCTCCACAGACTTCAGCTGTCATGTCACATGTCAGAAAGCTGCAAGAGAGTGCTTAGGTATGCACATCTGTGGCAAATCATATTACCCTTGTCATAGCCAAGTCCCCTGGACCACTATGACATCAGTGTCATAGTTAAGCTGTTTTTAGCTTTCCTCTAGTTCTTGCCACCTACTGCATCACTATTGGGGTCTTGTATTCTTTTTGAGAGCTGTACCTGTGCTTCAGTCAGGCATGAGGCTAGCTCTGGCTTTGCAAAGGCTCAGTTTTTATCAATGATGATGAGTTTGAATCCAACCTGGAGCTCTTTTCCCATGGCTGAATTCATCTTTGGTTCCAGTGGAATGTCATTTGAAACAGCTGGCTTTGCTATCAGCTTGTGCTTTGTGTCATTTTTAGATCAGGCGTGGGAATTTACTTTGCTCTGAAAAATTATTTTAACACATGCCTGGTTGGGGTGTCAATTTGCCCCTCCCCCCTCCTTCCAGAATGCTTTCCGAATGGCTTGACATAGCTGCACCAAATTCTGCTTAGCTGTAGACAATGGAATAGCAGATTGTTTGGTATAGAAATTGATATGTGCCTTGCAAGGTCGCTGATCTACGGCAGGTCAAAGTCGGGCTGTGGATTTAGCAAAGTCGATTTCAAGGGAATTGTGCAGTCTGAAGCAGCAACAGAGTGTTGGATGAAGCCATACATTTCTGAGATGCTTTCTTAAGTAACACAACAATGAAATGAACAAAGTTCATTGCCCTAGGGTCATGTATGAAGGTCAGACCAAGGTCAAGACTGACCTGTTTTATTACTCTATGGCTTGCTATATGGGGTAGTTTCTGCTTCTCACTTTCATTTTTGGTAACAGAAGCCATGTTCCAAATGTTCCACAACTTTTTATAGGTCAGCATGGGTATTTGACCTAAAATGGCTCAGGTCAACATTTTGTTTTGGGAGCATACTACCTGGCATTGTCTTTGTTGCTTATTAAAATGCTAAACTTAAAACATTCTTGTATGATTCTGGTCACCATGACTTTCAAAAGGTCAAACAAGGCCACTGGCCTTAAATAAGCATGCAACCCTTCATTTAAACAGGTGTGTAGCATATGGGGGCACTTTGGATGGCAACCAGGAGTTTGATCTTGTTTGACGTTATTTGACCTGAAGGCTGGTATCTGGGAACCTCGCACTTTGGCCCAAGTGAGTTCATGTACAGGTGAACACACCCTGTGAATCTGGTGTCTAGCTCTCTTTGTTTTTTAGATCTCAGGGGTCAAATTGACCCCCTCCTGAGTGAAGTGTATCTAGCCAGCCACCCTGGCATGTGTTAATTTTGGCTGTGGTTTCAGCTTCATCCAGCCTTAAATGGAACAGTGGTCATTGCACTGTAGTTGTGACCATACAAAACACTCCAAAGTTTTCCAGATTTTTTGGGTGGCATGTGGCCAAAAGCCCAATACCAGCTGGCACTCTCAGCACCAGTGACACTTGATAACAGTCAGAGAATTGACCACAAAGTGCCATGCATGTACTGACTTAGGGCGAGAGACTTCAAACAATGCTGATGGCATTTTCTTGCCCCATTTAGTGTGACCAGATGCAAACATGGTTTTGGCTTTGCAAACCAACACTTTGCAAGGTTCGTCTCTGGTTTTGATGTGATCTTAAAGCAATGGGTTCGGCTTTAGCTGCACATTTTTTGTTCAAAGCTTCTGACTGACTTGGCTTCATAATGCCAAATTTTGAAGCCCCTTCTCCGGATTCGACCTCGGTTTCATGTCGCTGTCTTGGCATCGGATTCGGCTTTGAGGGCACAAGCCTGGCTTCGTCACTGGTCCTTGCTTCAATAATTATCCACTAACAGTTGCTGCCTCCAGCAATAAAGCAGCTAGGGGGCCGTGAAAGATACCCCCATACAACTCTGTGGGAGTTTGCCCCGTGGGCAGCGTTTCAAAAGAACTAGTAAAAATGGCTACTGCTTCCCCCCCCCCCCCCTTCATCTTCAACCTGGGGAGCTTCCATTGCCCTTGCTGCCTCATTCAGCCATCATTTCACGCACCGTGCCACCCTGGTTGTGAGGCGACCCTCGGCTGTGACGTGTCCCATAGCGCGGCCGCTGACGCCGCCGTCCCGTGTCGACAGCCGGCTCCAGCCAGCGCGACTTCGGTGGGCGGCGGCGGCCGCTCGCCCAACAAGGGCATGTCGCGGCCGGCCGGCGGCGGCGGCACGGTACGTCAGCGCAAGCCGGCGGCCGGCGGCGGCGGCACCGCCAAGCGCACCACCGGCGCCGGCAGCGGCGGCATGTGGCGCTTCTACACGGACGACTCGCCTGGCATCAAAGTGTGAGTGGCT